TGTATATATGTATGTATGTATGCAGGCATGCATACAAGATGGTCACACGCACACACATCTGCTCGCTGAAGATGTTTCTTTTGCGGCCTGGGTCGTATCATTTCCGATTTGACCCGGCGTGATCAGTCTCATAGGTCTTGACCAACTACTCTGAGCTGTTAACATCATCCCCTTCCTAGTTTCGTCGTACTAAACCACATTCCTGAACCGTAAACCCTAGACCATACACCTCCAACTCCCGTCTTAAGACCCCTCAAAGCCAAATTTGGAGAGTTGCAGGTATCCAGGGGTGGTTGCCAGCGGTCGCGGTCGCTGGAAGCCGGACGCGAGGCCACGTGGGAAAGATTTAGGGTTTCCGGTTTCAGCTTAAAGGTGATCATTCTTCTTTGATTTAGGGTCTGAGAGATGTTTCGACGTTCAGCTTGCTTTTTGTGTAATTTCTCCATTTTTTTGTCTTGCGTAGTTTATGCTCGTACTTTTTTCTTTGTGGATTTCTCATAATAGTGGTCTTGGTCTGCCCTAAACCTAAACCCTAAACCCCTCAGAAGGCTAGGCTGTGTGCTATTTCCGGGCCCTGGCGCCTCATGCAGAGACTGCTGTAAAGTCGTCGGGATGCGAAGCCTCAAAAGCCGAGAGCTTGTGAAGGGGTTTAGGGTTTAGGGTTTTTAGGGTTTAGGGTTCGGAAACCCTGAACCCTAAACCCTACACCCTAAACCCTAAACCCTGACCCCTACACCCTGAAGAAGCAGACTTTCAACTGCTAGATGGTAGCGAGATGGAAGAAGGAGCTTAAAACCACAGCTGTATCCCTAAAGCCTGAACCCTAAACCCTAAACCCTAAACCCTAAACCATAAACCCTAAACCCAGCTGTATGAACCCAGACTCCTGGACCCTCGGACCCAAGCCGGCAGAAGGCGAGAATCCTACCCTCAACCCTAAACCCTCAACCCTAAACCCCAAACCCTAAACCCTGCACCCCAAACCCTAAACCCTAAGCCATAAACACTAAACCCTAAACCC